AAACTGTTTCTTTTTTTGACAAGGGGACTCCGTGATCAATTCGTTCTGTTAGCCTAAACTTAATACGTCTACGGCTTTGTTGTTTATACTCTTACAAATTCTAAAGAGCTTTTAGACGATGAATGTCATTTCAAGCCTTACAGTAACCCTTTCGACAGTAAGATGCATTAGAGTGGTTTTCCGTCAACCATGAAAAGAAATAGACCAACTAGTTAGTAGCAATTAGTAATAGTCAATATACACCTAATTGAAGAAACAACTAGACGCTCTTGGAGCGTGAAGTCCGACTAGCTATTTTTGAAAATTGAGAAAGACAGGATATTACATGGATGCGCGCATATAGGAGAACGAGTGAAAGGTTTTAAGCAAGATAAAATTATGATGTTATATTCTGTCTAATCATATGATTATATATGAATGTAAATTATGTGAAAGCAAGTATACATGACTTTCAAAAATGGCGCAGTTCACGTCCGCCTATATTGGGGACTAGTGACGAATCATGGAAACGAGACCTCAAAGGCCTTCCATCAAGAATCACTACGAAGATCGTGTGTAGGCAGTGTCCAAAGGCACGGCACCATGGAAGGCACCATGGAAGCTCACTATACGGAGGCTAGCCTTTGAGACCTCGTTTTAGTGCTTCATCCCCAGTGCCCTGGTCGGCGACCGTGACACATCGCACCATTTTTGAAAGTCGTGAATGCAGACTAGTTTTTGATCCTGCGAGGCAAGGGATCACCGACCCACAGATATCCCACATTTAGCTAAGAGTGTGCGTCAATAAGAACCAGTGTAAAAGCGTATACATTCGTTCTTCTCTTTCTCTCAAGCAATAGTTGGGTGGCCTATGGAATGGCATGTAATTATACATGTAAGGGTTTAGACTCAACAAGTCAGAACCAGTTCCCTCTCTGTTGATATTTTTTTGTTACTAGTTTGAATGACAAACCGAATAACAGAGGAGCAAATACTACAATTATGGAATCAGTTTAGTAAGGGTTTAAATGTAAATTAATTTGGAATTTTCTATCGTTTCTTTAATTTATTCTTTCTAGCTTACAGTAATTTTACTTTCAACTTAGCCCACATGATTAATTAGGATAGAGTATACATATTTTGCACTAAATGTGTAGTTAATTGCAGTATTTTAACTAAACAATAGAAAACAATAAAATAAGCATACGTTAGCAGTATTTATTGTTATTAATGTTACACACTATTAGTGTTTGCACTCTACTATTAGAAATATCAATATTTAACTACTTCACTCAAAAAAACAAAAATAAATTGAAGAATTTTTTTRTGAGATTTACAAATTTCAAGTGATACATCAATAATATTATCTTATTAACATCATTACATTTTCAGCATTGTTGGGCATTGTCCAGAGTTCATTAGCAAGTGAGTAACAGTATGTGTATAAAGATTATATAGTCATTTTTTGTTCTTTAATCTACAACAAGAGAACATTTTGACTCAAATCAACATAAATTAATTTACAAATGGACATTCATTTTCATGCATCACAATATAATTCAGATGATCTTTTAACTTGTTCAGGCTATTGTACTTCTGCTCTTGAAGCTTATGCAGAAGTATCCAACTACCAGAAATCCTCAGGCATTTTCTTTGTTATTCAGTTAAGACTAATTACAAAGAAAGTGGGCAATGTATCCAGGTAGTTAGGTAGCTAATGACATTTGCACTATACTGAATTACTTGGTGACTTCTTGGTTTAGGCTGTGATGGACATTCAACTAATCTTTACGCTGATGCAGGAACATCCAAGATTATTACAAGTCCTAACTACCCTGCCAACTACAATTCATCCTTAAAATGTTCCTGGACAATTCAATATCTTTATTTTTCCCTCAATGTGCAGATAAAGATAGTTAGCTTTGATACTACTGGAACCAGTGGAGCTTGTACAAGTGAAACTGATAATCTAGAAGTCTTTGATCATGRTAATCTTGTTGGAAGATATTGTGGTAGCAATGTACCAGGGAATTTGACCATTTATAGTACTGGCAAAMTGTATAGTCAATATCTAACACTGATATTTACCAGTCCAAGTAATAAAACAAAGCAAGGCTTTAAACTGGAATACATGGCAGTTCAAGATCCATGTGAGTGTTCTTAACTTTTCATTCATTTTCCAACTTCCACATCGATTTAAATAATACACGGGAGTATTTATAACCTGTAAGAAAGAATAGAAGTGAAAGAGACATCACACACAGGCTGTCGATATAATATAAAAATCCCGGGGTGGAGGGGGGGGAGGGGGTGGGGGTGGGGGTGGTACTCCCATATACTTGCTGTACGGGGAGGTGCCGCTGGCCAGGGTATGGTTTTTGGCCTTGCTGWCTTAAACAGKKTATACATTTCACCCGAAATTGTCTTAAACAGGCTCTACAATTTAGATAAAAGATACCAATAATAATTTTTAATAATAATAATTTTTTTTTGTGTCTTAGACAGGGTAATATTTTCATAACACTGTACAAATATTAGAAATACCGTTTCACTGTCCCAGAATTAACGTGTTACCAAAAACTTCTTATTGTCTTTGATGGATGTCAGTATATTTGCAGTGTTGATGGTTACGGCGTAGATAGGTATTCCTTATTTTTCTGATTTGTCTTGAACAGGGTATGGATTTTTACTTTTTAGTGTCTTAAACAGGGTCAGGGATTTAGACCGCTGGCGGCACGTACCTATCCAAAATGGGGTCGAGAACGCCCTCCCCCCCCTCCCGAGTGAAAATTGGAATGGGCTGGATATGCTTGCTTTAATGAACTAAATTTTAACGATGTAAATTTATAATACTGTTCAACGTTTACAGAATATATCCTTTGATGGCAACATTTAAATACATTTAGACATGTATATGTTTATTGTTAATTTTTTCAGATTGTGGCTCATTTCTTCTTGATGCTGAACTAGACAAACCAAAGATTCTAACAAGTCCAAACTATCCTGCTAACTACCCTCCTCAGGCAAAATGTTCTTGGCTTATCACAGCACCTCCAGGGCATTTTGTAAAACTGAATTTCACAAATTTTGACCTGGGGGATCCTCATAAGCGCTTTGGAAGATGTGATCATTTTCGGTATCATTCTTTAAAAGTATTCAATACAAATAAAAGCTATTTATTGCTTAACAATGATCTCCTTGGAAAGTACTGTGGCAGCATTGTACCTGCCAATATGATTTCTTCCAATAGATATTTCACTTTAGTTTTTTCAAATAGAATTAGAAGTAACTATCCTACCAAACAAGGCTTCAGATTGGAGTACTCTGCCCTTTCCACCCCAGGTAAGTAGGCATTCAAACTTCAAAATTCAAAGAAAACAAAAGACAAGCAATCAGAGCCTTTTGCTTATTGGTTTATTGAGAAATGAAGGTTTTACAGCAACAGAGTGAAAGCGACATGTGCTTTAAGAAATGGTTTGCCAGCTGGTTGATTCACGCGTCTTTGTGTTCTTTAACAACTGTAAATTAATGCATGACTTAAGAAGTTGATTGAAAGTATTCGCGGGGTGTCTCCGAAAATGTTTTTCAACACTTTGATTATAAATGAATATAGACAAATTATATATCATTGTAAAGCTTATATAATTGAAAAAAGGCTATATATGGGTTTTCTGATTTTATTCAATTCCTTGTGAGTATTATGCATTAAACTAGAATTGAGTGATCAGGCTTTGCGCGAAGATATTTGAGGAATAACTTGATTCCTGGATTTATTCAATCAACACGTGACAGGCTCAAAAACCGGGTTGCGCTTTAACGATTTAGGCCTTAGTTGTCGAGATATTGTCTTAGATGTCGTTCAACAAGATATTTTTTGCACGCAGGGACTCCTTAATATAAAAGGGCGGGGGTCCTCGTGGTCCCTTTTAGGGTTTGAAATCGGTATTTTGTTCCCGCTTATGGTCCCTTTTGGGGTATACGACGACACCAAGCCGTCATAAAATGGCAACGTCGTCATAAACTCAATACGAGCCGACGGTGTTCGATGATCATGTGCACTGAAAATTCAATTCAAAAACTCATCCATAATTAATGAGTTATTAGGCCAATAGAATTAGCCTATTTGATCATTATGCACACTCCTTATTAGTATTCTTTATATAAAGAATCTAATAAGGGTGACCTTTATCAGATATAAAGGTCCATGACTCTAGCAAAGGTCTCCGGTTTGAAACCTGATCATTGACCAATGCAGGATGTCAACCAGTTGCAGTAAAMWGCCAAGAGTCTTCTATTTTACTTTATGCGTATTCAATGTGGGATGACGAGTGCTTTGTCAAGCGATTCGCGCATGATCAGTTTGCCCTATTTATCTCAGAACATATTTGTACGGCAATTTCTCCAAGAATTTTAACGGATTTGAGTTTCAAATTAGTGTTGGAGTTTTTGAAGCCGTTTAAAACACTCGAGACCGTGTTTTAAACTATACATAACATCGGGAAACCAAAACAAAATGATCTGTTATTGATTGGTCCCTCTAAGGGGTGAAATTTCAGCACTGCCAAGCCCATCATCTCACAATAGAGGTCCCTTTTAGGGGTCATTTTCAGAATTTTCTTTGATATTAGGGAGTCCCCCCTGGATTTTTTGGATCACTCATCTTCAGAACAAAATAAAAAATACGCAGTCGAGGACTGCATGTGACTCAGGCATAAGAGATTTAATAGGGACATAAATATCTAGAATGGAACATAAGACAGAGTGCAATTTGTAGTCTCTTTCATACTATTTGCAATAGTAAACAAAATAGATAACTTAGGACCTTGTAATTCCATCTTAAAAAATTCTTCTGACAGTCATTGTTGTTATGTAGATGTTTTACGCTTTTAGGCAATGATATCTACAGTGAACTCACTAAATTCATCCAACAAATATCACTATGGTACTAAATAGTTTTGATAACGCACTGAGGTCTTGCGCGGACCGATCTAATCGGCCCTTGGCAGTGATAAACGAAGCCAAACGAAGCAATCGGACTTTTGTTAGCAAACAAACCACATAAAGCGCCCCAAAATCTGAAATATGTTTTTAGAAATACAAATTTGACTGCAAATGGATMGAAATTTATGTCTAGTTCTAGACACAAAATAGGTTGAATACATTGTATTGTGATAAAAGATCGGACTGAACAACAAATCACCTTCGAAAGCACGAACACGTCGCTGGTCAGGACAACGATCACGTGTTTATATATCCGCTAGGAACGCCTGATTCAATTGGAATGGTAATTACAACTCTTTCATTCAAACCCGATGACATAGTGACGAAGCCTACCCAGAAGGCCTTCGTCACAAAAATCAGTAATCATGTGTTGATTGAGTAAATCCAGAAATGAGTTATTACTCAAATATCTTCGTGATTTATATTCTTTTAGAGCAAAGATCACTCAATTTTAGCATTTCATGCATAATACTTGAAAGGAATTGAATAAAATCAGAAAACCCATATATAGATCGAGGCACCACGCGAAAGTGAACGGTAACCTTAAAGTGCATATGAACCATTTTAGAAAATCATTTTTAACAAAAGGCAAATATGATACTAATCATTGTTTAGAAGAAGAAAAAGTTTTTTGAATTTTATTTTCTGAATTAAAGGCATTTGAAAATTGAAAATGCTAATGAGTGACGTCAAAGGAGGCTTCATCAAATATACGAACTTTGAAAGAGTCGCTCAAAAGTGTTTTCATGAACGCCAACTGGGAAATGATTATTCCCTACATTACCTATGATAAATTTAATACCATGAAACCTGACCTTTTTCATTTTCTTATTCAGCCAGTTACTATTCCATGTGTATGAAGGAGAATGCCATAGTTGAGTACACTGGTCTTTTAGGGTTGAGTTTGAAAGCTTCTAGTAGTTTCCAATATATCAGAAGCCCTCTGTACCCACACAAATACCCTAKCAATTTAAACTGCTATTGGCGTATCACTGCTTCGTCAAGCTCCAAGAGAATAAAAGCTGAAGTGACTGACTTGAAGATCAGCAACAAGGTTGTATTTTCCTGCTCGTACCGTGAAGATGCCTTAGAAATCAKAGGTGGTGATAATTCTGCTAGTTATTGTGACCTTTTCAATGATACATCTAGAACAGTGATATCATCAGGTCAGTATATGAGCGTTGTGTTCAGAACCAATGATGATAACTTCTTTAGGGAAGATACAGCTGGCTTTGAATTGAGGTTCATTGAGATAAGCCATTCCTCTATCTTAAAGTTTGGTAAGTAAATTGAAAATTTTAAATAACATACATTGAGATTAGATTAATAGATATATATATATGAGAAGGGACAGCACAAAAGGTATCTAAAGAATTAAGACCCTTTTGATGCGCACCGTGAATTAATTGGCTTCTTTGGGAGGGCTGGATTTTCACGCTAGACACAAGACCCCTTTTGTGATGTACCCTCTCATATATAAATAGAATAAATTGAAGAAAAAGCCACGCAACTTGTAACTAGGTTTTCTACTTTTATTCGAACGTTTCGGCACTTCGGCCTTCTTCAGCAAACTGAGTGTTTTGCACGCGCCATGACCTAAATCAAACCTACAAACCCAAAGAAAGCAGTAGCTAATACAAAACACTTAGCTAGCCAAACCAGAAATTACATCAAACAAACCCAAGCCAGATGAACAACACCAAAGTAGGAAATTACTAAATCTAATACGAATAAATAATTAATATAAATAAAGGAAGGACATGAAAGCTACTGCCCCTGCAAGCAACCTTCAAAACTCCATCCACCTAAGAAAAGTTTTATATCAGCTGAAATAACCACAGATACAAATAATCTAAACCTATATCAATAGAAACGCTTTTTCGGGCAAAAAAATCCAAGCAAGTGTCCTCGAAAATAGCCCGAAACCATCCGCATCGAGGTTATCCTGAGGCCACTTGCGCG